ACCTAAACCTCCCTTGACCGTGGTAAAATCACTGTTGGGCATGGCCTCAAGTGGCATATTCCTTTAATAAAAGACACCAATTTTCAATATACAGTATAGTTTAATTAATAGTCTGTATGATACAGTTTATATAACATAATGGATGGATGTTTAGCATATCCCAAAAGTACTGAATTTGCTGGCCTTTTCTCAAAAATTGCCCTGAGATTTGCAACATTCTTTTATATCAGTTCAATCATGACAACTCTCGGAAGATTTTAGCATGGTGATGGATATGACAATGTTAATGTATTTGGTCTTGGATATAGATCTGCTACACTGCTGCTGAATTGCTGCTGCTGTTGGTTATTGCTGTAGTTGTAGATTATTGCTGCTGCTGCTTCAAGCAAGTACAGGAACTTGCTACTGCCAATGCATAGGCGATACGGTGCCGTGAGTATTTAAGACATACTGCTGCTGCACAAATGGCATATAAAATAACCCGTAGCAGATCTATACAGGAGCTGGGGAAGGTGGAGGGTTTCAGAGAAACTCTGAAAGCGCGCTGCAGGAATCTCTAGTGAATGCTAGCCAGCCATATAAATGCAAGGCAGTAAGCTCATTGGCTGCATATGCAGCATGAACCAATCAGCTCGTGCCAAGTCATTTAACTCTCTGAATATCATCAGTTACATTAACAACCCGTCAGCCTGCGCCATCTAGAGTTTCATGACTGAACTATATATTTATGTATTATAATGTTTCTGAGAATGTCTTTCACACACTCTGCATTCATTTTACATTTACTATTTTGGCAGACACACAATTGTAAGCTCAAATCTTGTGGGGATCATTTGAGTTTGATCACAGAATCCTGGGAGAACTGAATTGTGTAACTTATATTCATTTTAATCTATTAATGAAATACAAAAAATACAAAATGCTAAATTTTTATTAGCCAGTCTTAGTACTGAACAGTTTGCATCTGCATGAATTGGAGATGCTGAAGCTATTATTCTCTGTTCGCAAAGGTTTACATGCAGTATTGTGATGGTAGTGTGAGATGCAGGTGAACAGGTTTGCAGTTGTTAAAGAGATTGCGATGTTCAAAATGTGTCTATAGCAGTAAACTGCACAAACAATCCTGTCACCTTTCTGTTTTGTTTGTGAGCACAGACTTTTTTAAATCATTTTTTATGTCATTTAAATTATTACTATTTTGTAATGCAAAGAACCTAAACCTCCCTTGACCGTGGTAAAATCGCTGTTGGGCATGGCCTCAAGTGGCATATTCCTTTAATAAAAGACACCAATTTTCAATATACAGTATAGTTTAATTAATAGTCTGTATGATACAGTTTATATAACATAATGGATGGATGTTTAGCATATCCCAAAAGTACTGAATTTGCTGGCCTTTTCTCAAAAATTGCCCTGAGATTTGCAACATTCTTTTATATCAGTTCAATCATGACAACTCTCGGAAGATTTTAGCATGGTGATGGATATGACAATGTTAATGTATTTGGTCTTGGCGGAACAGATCTGCTACGCTGCTGCTGCTGCTGAATTGCTGCTGCTGTTGGTTATTGCTGTAGTTGTAGATTATTGCTGCTGCTGCTTCAAGCAAGTACAGGAACTTGCTACTGCCAATGCATAGGCGATACGGTGCCGTGAGTATTTAAGACATACTGCTGCTGCACAAATGGCATATAAAATAACCCGTAGCAGATCTATACAGGAGCTGGGGAAGGTGGAGGGTTTCAGAGAAACTCTGAAAGCGCGCTGCAGGAATCTCTAGTGAATGCTAGCCAGCCATATAAATGCAAGGCAGTAAGCTCATTGGCTGCATATGCAGCATGAACCAAACAGGTCGTGCCAAGTCATTTAACTCTCTGAATATCATCAGTTACATTAACAACCCGTCAGCCTGCGCCATCTAGAGTTTCATGACTGAACTATATATTTATGTATTATAATGTTTCTGAGAATGTCTTTCACACACTCTGCATTCATTTTACATTTACTATTTTGGCAGACACACAATTGTAAGCTCAAATCTTGTGGGGATCATTTGAGTTTGATCACAGAATCCTGGGAGAACTGAATTGTGTAACTTATATTCATTTTAATCTATTAATGAAATACAAAAAATACAAAATGCTAAATTTTTATTAGCCAGTCTTAGTACTGAACAGTTTGCATCTGCATGAATTGGAGATGCTGAAGCTATTATTCTCTGTTCGCAAAGGTTTACATGCAGTATTGTGATGGTAGTGTGAGATGCAGGTGAACAGGTTTGCAGTTGTTAAAGAGATTGCGATGTTCAAAATGTGTCTATAGCAGTAAACTGCACAAACAATCCTGTCACCTTTCTGTTTTTTTTTTGTTTGTTTTTTTAATCTTATAGGCAAAGCAAATTGCCCTGGCAGGTCAGCAGTTTGCACGAACTCATCTGATGGGTGACAGTATATTCTGTTACTACTTCAAACTCTTTCAGGTATTTTTTTCTTTCTTTAGTTCAGTGCTCTGGTGTGTCTATTGTGTCAGTGACTACACCAAGAGCGGAACGGTTACTGTTTCTGTGACACTACAGGTTGTTTGTTTTATCACCTTTTTAATACCTTATTCTCCACAACGGCTCTTTTTAATTTCCTCTGTTCCTATTTTTTGATTTTATGAACTTATCAATGTATATATCTTATCTTGTCTTGATCTTCCAGCTTCATCCAAGTTTTATGTGTTGTTCTCAAGGACTCAAAAGACAAAGGTTAAACAGCGCGCGTCTTGCCATCTGCACGGCACACACATTCAGTGGTCATTGCAGGTTACTGTCTGTGTTGATAAGATTACTAGAAGCACTTTAGGTACAAAAAATAAAGTCTTATTCTAAATCAGCAAAAAAAAAATTCTATCATCAATATATATAAGCATCCTCAAAATTAGAAATTACATCTTCAAAAAAAGGTTTGTTTTGTCTTGTGTCATTGGCAGCTTTAATAAAATTTTTAAGCTAAATATAGCTAAATATATTTGTTTGAATAGTATATCTTTTCTATATAAGAGGTCAAACATACAGTACAAAATTATGAAAGAACTGGATACATTTAATTACAACAAAAAGAAAAAAAGAATACACACACACACACACACACTTGGGACTTGGTCCCAAGTTTCCTGTGTGCTCACAGTAGTCACTGTGCGCAAGTACCCCTGAGTTCATAAACCCCAGTACTTTATGGTTTTTCATAACTATCGGCTGGAAACATTCATCTTTAAACATAAGTTCTGGCCTCAAAGCACTTCTCAACAATAAACCTGTGTGCATTTGAGGTGTGGAAGTGTTGGAGGTCAAGACCACAGCGGCTACTTGAATTTTATGTGATTCGTACTGCTGATAAAGATGCTTGTTTAGTATGATGATGTTGCAGTTAATAAAAAGTTCTAAATAAAAGTGCTTCACCAAGACAAAGAAAGTAAGAGGGTGCGTGATTGGATGGAAAGATTACAGATGGTGAAATTATGTAGCTGAACTTGCATGTTGTGAAATAAATGTAATGTACCATGTAATATCTTTGTTTATTTTTGCCAGTAAAATTTTGTATGCTAAATAAAATTTCTACACTCATCCAGCTCTGTGTTTTTGTTTTTAGAAGTATGCTGAACTGCAGGTAACTGAGCCCAAGGTTCGAGATGGTATGGAGCTGGTGGAACAGCCAAAGGACGAACTTTTCCCATGTTATTGTGCAAGAAAAAAGGTAGCCTTTGTGTTCTTGGTATTAACTGAAATCACTATAATGGGTATATTAATTTGTATTCATTTAACCTATTCTACACAATAACAGAGATAGTACTGACCTTTCTCAGTATAATAATAGTCATCAGTGTATAATAATAGTACAATATTTCTAGATTCCATTAAAATAAAATATCCTAACCAAACTCCCATTATACAAATAAGCTTTTTTTTTTTTCAGTTTTGTCCATACTAAGATTTCCATTTATACAAATTTCTGTTCCGCTTTGAATTTTCAGCATAATAAAACATTTATTGTTAAGAAACAACAGTGAACATTTTACCACCATTTGGTATAATACTGTACAATACATTTAATTAAGTATCTGATGGATTTATTGTCATTTCATAAAGCACACAAACTGGGTTTATGAGGGCAATACACTTTTTATGACATGGATTGATCAGCAGATTACTCTGATAAAATGATTATATTAATTATTTTAGTCTGCAATGCATTTGCTCTGGATCAGATCAAACATTTCTAATTGTTTGTTTTGTTTTTGTATAGGTCAGAGATGAGCTGTGAGAGACCACCTGTTGTGTTATGTAACAGCAGCCATTAAATTTAGATGGATTTGCAGAAAAAGATGTTTCCGAGACCACAGACTTGGTGCATCAAGTGTCTTGTGACTGCAATGTCTTAACTGAATGTTTCTCTTTTTGTATTAAATCTTTGTGTTTCTACATTCTTGTTGGTCTGGTTTATATTATTATTATTATACAGGTGCATCTCAATAAATTAGAATGTCATGGAAATTTAGAAAGTTTGATAGATGGGCTTGCTTATACACTTTAATGTAGAATTACTATACATTACACAAAGTTTAGACCAGAATAATTAACAGAATAATTTAAGTTATTCATAATAATTAATCATAACAGAATAATTAGAATAATTAACAGTGGAAATGTTTGTTTATTTACTTATTTAGAAGCTAAGACTTAAAAGATTTAAGGAGGTTTATATAGAAATTAACTTAAACCTACCCTGAGAAATATGTGACAGCATGCTCTGGTCTTTCCTATCTAAGGTTTTAACTATTGTATTGTTTCACTTCAAACCAAACAAACTTACATTTATTTAAAATTCCTTTGATATATATTTTTTCTAACTTTTAAGTGTGTTCTAACTTCTAACCTTTTGTGTTAAGTGTGCGAACAGTTCATCATAAAGACATTTTTCACATTTTCATGTAGCCATCTTACCTGAGGCGCATGCTCACTCCTTTACATCAGGTGGCGCTGTAAACAACGTGATTCATATGAACATCGACACGTCACATGTCCACGTGTGAGAAACCCGGGTATTTAGACCTCCTTGTTTCAACCACGCATCCCTAAATGGAGTTTTCAGAGGTATTTTAGCTATAGAACCATATCCAACTTATCAACACATTTTTTGTGAACGGAGTGGAATATAATGAGTGTTGTTTACAAAACATGTTTGGTGCATTGTCTAAAGAACTTCGTTTTTAACACTTTATTCATATGAATATCACAGGAGAATGTGAGAATCCCGTTCGAGCAGAAGGAGCTGGACGGTGTGTTGACGGTCCCTGCTGACGTCAGCGCGGGACATTGCACAGCTGTGGTGTTGACGCACGGCGCGGGGGGAGACATGCGCACCAAACAGCTGGAGAGCCTCGCGCACACTCTCGCCCGTTCAGGCGTTCTGTGTCTGCGGTTCACCTGCAGGGCGCCGAACTTTCTGTACAGAATCAGAGCTTATAGCGCCGTTGTAGTAAGCACTTAATTTTCTAATTTTCATTATTAGAAGCACCTTAATGCAAATAAAATGTTTACGTTGTAACTGCATTTTATTAATGTATTCGTTTTTAATAATAAAACAAAACTATAAAAATATATTCTAAAATGTATCATTATTAAGTAGTAGTAATAATAGTAGTAGTAGTAGAAATAATAATATTTTAATATTAAATACATACAGTGGCATGCCAAAGTTTGGGAACCCCTTGCAGAATCTGTGAAAATGTGAATAAGTTTAACAAAATAAGAGAGATCATACAAAATGCATGTTATTTTTTTTATTTAGTACTGTCCGTAGTAAGATATTTTACATAAAAGATGTTTACATATAGTCCACAAGACAAAACAAAAAATAGCTGAAATTATTAAAATAACCCCCTTAACTGTCACCCCCCATTTTTTAAAATAGGCATGAAAGTGTACTATCCTAACTTAAATTGTTGTAATTTATGAACACTTTGGAATACAGACCTAAGGTTGGTCTCTTTTTAAAATAGAAAATCAGCAGATTATTGCAAAAGTGGATTTTTTTTTCTTCAAAAATTATAGAAGTTTAAATTTACTGTAAAGAAAATGCACTATACTAATTTTATTTTATATATAATAAATATTTTACATAACAGGTTTTACTCTAAAATTGGTATAAAATTAAAGCCTTATGTCTAAATAAGTTATGTTCCAAATTTGAAGTCGATATGAAAAAAATTGAGGTTCCTGTGAGATTTTATTTAGGGCGTTATACCACAAACAGCCACCTTTCCAATTATATGTTTTTTGTCAAGATTATAAAAAGGTTTGTTTCTAAAAGACCGTAATGCATTTTGAAATATGACACTTGACACCACCCACTAAGGGGGAGGAGACCGCCAAAAGGTTTTAAAGTACCATTTCCATGGTAACACAATGTCTGATTTCAAAATGGTTTTCACGGGATGAATTTGGGCTTCTAAGCTTTCAAATGATATATAATTTATGATGATTACTAAAAGATTTGATAGAGAAAAAGCACAACAAAAAAAAGATCGTCAAGTGTGATGGTTGTTCATGAGTCCCTTGTTTGTTCTGAACAGTTAAACTGAGCACTGTTCTTCAGAAAAATCCTCCATGTCCTGCAGATTCTTCAGTTTTCCAGCATCTTTATTAAGAGCAGGATGAAGATGTCCAAATTTTTCTTATTTTGTTGAAATATAATTTTTTCCCCTTCATTTAGTACTGCCCTTCGGAAGCAACAGAAGATACTTGCATGTTTCCCAGAAGACAAATTAAGTACAATTTACCTTGATCTTCAAATTCAAAAGTTTTCACCCCCAGCTCTTAATGCATAGTGAACCAAGGGTTCCCAAACTTTTGAAGGGGGTTATTTTAATACTTTCAGCTATTTTTTTTGTTTTGTGGAATATATGTAAACATCTTTTATGTAAAATATCTTACTCAAGAGTCAGGACAGTACTAAATAAAAAATAACATGCATTTTGTATGATCTTTCTTATTTTGTTAAAATTATTCACATTTTCACCGATTCTGCAAGAGGTTCCCAAACTTTCGCATGCCACTGTATTCCTTGTAATAAAACAAAAGTGTAAAATATAAAATGTAATTATTATTATTATTATTATAAATGAATAATATTTCTAATATTAAACACATAATCCTTGCAATTTTCTATCCATCAGGAGTACTTAAAGACCCATGAGAGATATGCACCAAACAGCCTTTTCTTGGGAGGTAGGTCTCTCTCTCTTTCTTTCTCTCTCTCTCTCTCTCTCTCTCTCTCTCTCTCTCTGTCTTGTTTGAACGTGTGAAAGTAGGAGGAACTGAAAAAAAATTGCAGATGCAAATCTTTAAAAATATGTAGATAAAAATAGGTGAATATTATAAAAATACTCTACTAATATATTTTTTATAATATTCATAGTGAACAATATTGAATAGTTGCCTGTTTTCCTTCTGTTGTTCTAATATTATTATTTCCCTTTTTTAGGCAGTAATAATGAATACTTTTTCCAAGAATAATTTTTCAAAGTTCTTCCTACGAAAGAAAAGAAAAGAAAAAAAATATTTAATTTAATAGTAATGTTCTCTCTCTTTCTGTATATGTATATTTGTTTCCAGGACGCTCTATGGGTGCTCGTACAGCTGTTGCTGTGTGTAATCGTATGTGTGACAGGCAGAAGGATGCAGTCCAAGGTGTTCTGTGTTTGTCATTCCCACTGAATGTACCAGGAAAACCACAAACATATGTTGAGCGGAGCCATGGCCTGCATGCACTGTCCCAAACTTCTGTGCTGTTTGTTTCTGGCACTGCAGATAACATGTGTCAACAGGTGAACACATATGAGACGTTTTCGATTGGTTTGGGCTTTAAACTGAGTAATGGTCATTCTTGAAGTTCCTGCTGTTAAACCTTAAATGATACATTTTGTCATAATATACTCATGCCGTTCCAAAACTGAATGACTTTCTTTCTGATTTTTTTTTTTTCCACACAAGAAGAAAGAAAGTAAGTCATACAGGTTTGAAATGATTTGACTGTGAGCAAATGCTGGCAGAATTGATTTTTTTCTGTGAACTAGCCCTTGTAGTTTTATTACAGGGACACAGGAATTTATAAATTTTTTTGGTAAAGATGTAATATGCAAAAAGGCAATTTGATTCTTGATTACATTGAAACTATTAGGTTCTTTCATATTTATATTAATGTAATACAAAGCTTATCCTTTGCTTGCTTTTTAGAATCTTCTACAAAATGTTATGCATGTCATGAAAAGCCCTTCTGCTGTTCACTGGGTCAAGGATGCGAACCATGGACTTGCAGTACGTGGTAGAACAGAAGAATCAGTACTGGAGGAAGTCAATTCACAGATTATTGCATGGGTACTACAACACAAATGAAATGCATCTTTATAAATAGATAAATATGGTTATTACTGTTTGGATGAAAGAAGATGGTGAGCTGTTGACCCTAACCCTCTGTATATAGTTACCGTATGTTAACTGTGTTCTGTGTTACAGAAAAAAAAAAAAGAAACTTGTTAAAAAAACAAGTTATTAGTATTATTATCATTAAAATTGCATTTGAATTGAGTACTATTTGGGATATTTATTAATAAACTATTAAAATCATATTATTATTCATATTGAGAGGACATTTGCTTGCAAACTATATGACTCACCATTTGTTTGTAAGCTACACGTTTGATACACAGTGGCTATAAAAAGTTTACACCCTCCTGGTAAAATTGCAGCTTTTTGAGATGTGAAAAATGAATTCTGGTAAAATCGTGTCTAATCTTTTTCCACCTGTTGTATTAAAAGCAAAAGGTGTTTGACATGACATGATCATACGTGGTTTATTTTTGATCTCAAAAACATGCAGTTTTAATGTGTAGATTTTTATAGCCACGTTTTACTAGTTGAAACCTAGGGAAAAATGAAACTGCTTCAATATAGTATTTTTGTTATATGAAACTATAATGATGTAAATTGTAAAAAAAATTGACTAGTTATTTTTCCTTACTGAAAAATAACCAATATGTAAGCTGTGCACCAGCGCAAAAGAATGCTTTTTTTTTTTTTTTTTGATTCGTCATTTCTTTTTTATTCGCAAAACTGTTCTGATGGCATTCATTATTTAGTAATCACGTTTTTAAAAAAAATTTTTTATTGCAAGTATAAACACTTAACTTCAACAATTAATGTAACATTGGATGACATTATGAATACAGAAATTATATAGGAAGACAAAGAATAAAAAATAAAGAATACATAGATAAAACAAAAAATACAGAGGTAGTAAATCAAAATTATGTACCATCAAGCAGATCATTATGCAGTTTCGCAAATTTGACACTTTTTTTGGTATTAATATTTTTTAGTGTTATAATTAAGTAGTTAAAGTCACAAAGAAAATTATGTAATTTTGGAGATGTTGAAGAAAATTTACATTTATGAATATAATATTTTCCCAATAAAATAAATACATTTCCTATATATTCTATGTTATGTTTACAATGTGAAAAATAACAAAATATATCACACATAGTAACATCAATGTCTACGCATTTCCTTGGAGGAAGTCATGGCCTAATGGTTAGAGAGTCGGACTCGTTGCAGGTTCGAGTCTCGTACCGGCAGGGATTGTAGGTGGGGGGAGTGAATGTACAGCGCTCTCTCCCACCTTCAATACCACGACTGAGGTGCCCTTGAGCAAGGCACCGAACCCCCATCTGCTCCCCGGGCGCCGCAGCATAAATGGCTGCCCACTGCTCCGGGTGTGTGTTCACTGCTGTGTGTGTGCACTTTGGATGGGTTAAATGCAGAGCACTAATTCCAAGTATGGGTCACCATACTTGGGCACATGTCACGTCACTTTCACTTTCATTCGATTTTGAAGAAAATAATTTTGACACGTCAGACCAAAATACCTTAACATTTGAAAAAAAGAGGATCAACAGACTCAATGCTGACATTACAAAAATTACAATTCAGATGAGGATTACCAAATGCGCAAAAGAATGCTGTGTGTGTACCTTTTAGGACCTGTGACGTAATCACATGAACAAGCGTATGATTGGCTGGTTTTCTCTCCCCGGCCTTCAGCTGTAAACATGGCGCAAGAACCCTGGAATAAAACTTGTATCCCGTTTCCAAGTGCTGTTTCTTCGAGTCGAATCCCATTTACTGACTCAAGTGGTATGTTCTGATATTTTAACCCGTAACGTTATATTTACTCTACTACAAAGAGCTCATATAAAGCATGTAAATAAATGTTTTTTTTGTGACTGAGCTGAGCACGTGGATCCGGTAGATTCATGTAAAACGGTGGACAAGTGATATAATTTGTAAGCAGCGATAAAGCATTTGACTCTTAACTTTTGATCTCTTCAGATAGTCGCGTTGTCCAATACAAGACTTGTTTACTGGTGTTAGTGTAATGTAGTCTACGTTACTTCATTCTTATTAGTTAAATAAGTGCAGTGTTTTTATTTTGTAAAGTAATTGCACGTGTTTGTTGTGTATTATGTATAAAACGACTGAACTTTGAATGACTAAACATATAACTTAAGTACAATTATATAGGCTACATGACATTGTAATGATGTTTCTCTGTCTAGATATCTTGATTGAAAGTCTGCTGACTGACTGTGAGAAAGTTTTGACCCTGTTATGTAGTGAAGTTCTACAGGCAGAAATCCGTGTTCTTTACGAACTTCTTTACGTTTTGAACAACGGCTTTAGACAACACAAGCCATTCAGAGCATTAAAACAGGTGGGAACCAAGTACTTCAATGTACATATTGTATGCATGCATATTACATTTAGTATTGTGTAATTATGTCAAGATAATCTATATGCAATGTATGATCGCATATTTACATAATTTTCAGGTTGAACAATGCATAAACCGTTTGAAAGAGATGAAGTTACAAGCAGCAGTGGACGATCTGAAGGAACTGTGTCCAGACAAATTTCAGACGTAAGGTATAGGTTAAACAAATTATACACTTTTTTTTTCCATATCATGGTTTTGAGAATATGTGTTTCTCTGTGTAGGGATGCTGGAGCAGAGGTTGGGGAGTGTGACGTTCCCAGTCAGCCCATGTTGGAGTGGCTCTGTCTCAAACTACTAGGAGCCTCCAGTCTTTTAGCCCGAACGCTGGAGCGGTGCACCCAAGCTTTCATGTATCCTAAATGTTCACATTCACAACCATGTACTTTGGTTAGAAAATTCTTATGATAGAAGAACTGTGCATGGCTATGATCCTTCACACCCCTGTCAGACTGACACGGCAGCACCTGCTGCTAAGCGAGTTCGTTGTGCTGAATGTGGTGATAACCAGCATGCTTAGTCGTCTCTGGTGAGTCTGTACCAGTATAATTTACCATATCATCGCTGAATTACCAGAGTTATTTCCTGAAGATGCTAAGTTGGGAAACTGCAGGGATGGAGCAGCATTTCATATTTGTGACCCTGGAGCACAAAACCAGTCATACGTAGCACGGGTATATTTGTAGCAATAGCCAACAATACATTGTATGAGTAAAAATGACCCTGGAGCACAAAACCAGTCATACGTAGCACGGGTATATTTGTAGCAATAGCCAACAATACATTGTATGGGTCAAAAAGATCAATTTTTCTTTTATGCCAAAAATCATTGGGATATTAAGTAAAGATCATGTTCCATTAAGATGTTTTGTGAATTTCCTACCGTAAATATATACAAACGTAATTTTTGATTAGTAATATACATTGCTAAGAACTTAATTTGGACAATTTTAAAGGCGATTTTCTCAGTATTTAGATATTTTTTTCACCCTCAGATTTCATTTATTCAAATAGTGGTATCTCGGCCAAATATTGTCCTATCCTAACAAACCATACATTAGTGGAAAGCTCGTGTATTCATCTTTCAGATGATGTATACATCTCAATTTCAAAAAACTGACCCTTATGACTGGTTTTGTGGTCCAGGGTCAATTTCTTCTAATTCTTGATTTTGACTTAGTTCAGTATAATCAAAGATATTCATTTGACTTTGTATTTTTACTTTTGTAAAAAAAAAAAAAAAAAAAAAGTGCTTGGTTTGAAACAATGTGTGTTTATAATAATATGAAAACCCAAAATGTTAAGAATTGTTTCAGAAAATATACCAATATATTAAACATTTACTGGCTTGCTTATGGATAGCTTTCAAAACAAAATTGAATAATGTGCAACAAATATAATTCTGAAATGGGATAACAGATTTTTTTTTTCTGTCACATTTTATAATTTTTTAGGGTGTTCTTCAGAGGTATTTTGAGAGCCCTCATCCCCATGTACAAAAGAACCACTGAACTCCTCCAGAAGGTGTCTCAGTCTCAGCCCATGGCCTACCTGACAGACTTCACCCTGCCTGGGGACCTGAAAGACTTCCTGTGCCTCTCATACCCAGATCTACTGTTGGAAGAAGGCACCAAAGACCCTTTAAGGGCCAAAAAAGGGAAACAAAAGTCCAACTTTTCTCTCCTTTCCAGGTTGTTTGAGGGTAAAGGGCATGAAGACGGTAATGGAGAAGAGGAGAGAGAGATGATGCCGATAATAGCTGCCGGTTATGATGAAGGTTCTAGTCTGGACCTGGGGGCAGCAGTTTTACAGCGACGGCCAGGTTATTTGGGGTTTCTTAACCAATTATGTTTTTGTGTAATTTATACTGCTTTGCTTTTATACATTTGCTTGTAATTCTCCAGATGTCTCACCCTGTGGACTGGACATGAAGGTTGTGCTTCAACGATCTTGTAAATCCACCAAACGGGTATCTAATCTTGATTTGTATGATGTCATTGACTAGTCCTAGGATGTTACCATTTCTGTTTTTGCCACTCGCATTTATATCAGATCTGTGGAAGCCCATTTCCACCACGTAAGAAAAAAAAAAAACATGCTTTGGTAACTTTAAAAGTAGGAATTATGGCATAAAAAGTTGAAATTTACATATGCGATAAATTTAAATTATGACATAAAATGTAAAGATTAAGATGATTTTTTTATTTATTTCATAATTGACTGTCATAATTTCAATTTAGTATGTCACAATTTTGACTTTCAATGTCATTTATGACTTATGTCATAATTCTGATTTGTCATAATACATTTTTTTACATCATAATTTTGACTTTAAAAGTCAAAATTGACATACATAAGTCATTATGAAATAAAATCATAATTTCACATTTTAAAGTCATAATTTTGACTTTGTATCTCATGTTTATGACTTAGAAAAGCATGTTTATTTTTTTCTTTTGTGGTGGAAATTTTTGAGAAAAATAATATGCTGACATTATCATAGAAATGCAATCACTGGTTAATTTTGATACATTTTTCCCAAAGATGAAAACGGAAATCTCAAGTCAAGCTGCAGTCTTTCAAAAGAGGAAGTTCTTGAAGTCGCTGACGAAGGTGTCTTCTTTCAGAAATATGGCTGCCCATCTGAAGGAAATGATGCACTGGTGCCGGAGCAGTAAGTTTCATCAAGAGCGTAAGCACCTGGCCTTCTTGCACCTGAAATGTCTGAGAATGGAGAGTCTGGAAGCTGAAGTTGTCAGGTACAAAAAATACTCTTAAATGAAATTTGTGTTTCTTAATCCTTCTTAAAAATATAAATTATTTCAGCAGGAGTGTATATTATAGTGTATATCATATCTAATCATATATGTATTTCTAAACTCAGGGTGGAGAAGAGATTGAAGAGGTTTAAGTTAAAAGTTCAAAAGGCATTGCTGCTTCAAAACACTTTGCCACAAAAACATTCCAGTTCCTTCATTGCACTTTGGAGAACTCGGTGGCACCATGGAAGCTTCATGGCACGCTACAGAACTGCCAGACGTAGATCTGCATTTTCCAGGAAGTGTTCTAGACCAGTTAAAGACTTGTTTGTTTCATTGAAACACAGGCCACAGCAACAATCCTCAAAAGAAGAGGTTTCAGGAAACAATAAGGTACCTGGAGCTGAGGAAAAAATGGACTTGCAGACTGCCTTGCAGAAACCAAATGTGCTAAACGATGATATTGATGATATTTTTGCATCACTTGGATTTTAAGTGGTTCCTAGTGTTGGTTGAATAGATGATTTTTATTTATTTTTTTTGACAAACCTGGGCACAAAAATTGACCACATTACTGTAATAAAAGCTACAGTTAAATAAAATGGTGTATATTGTATGTGACTTTTTCTGCACAATTTTTATTTTGTAGAGAAATAATGTTTAATTTTGGATTGACAAATGACAGATGATTGACAATGAACTGCATGAAATGTGAAAATCCAAAGTAATAAACTGAAAGAATAAAACTGTAGTCAAAAGGAAGTTTGTGAACAGTTTGAAAACCATGCTAATTTCAAATTTACTATATGTGACCCTGGACCACAAAACCAGTCATTAAGGTACATTTTTTGAAATTGAGATTTATACATCATCTGAAAGCTGAATAAATAAGCTTTCCATTGATTTATGGTTTGTTAGGATAGGACATTATACAATATTTGGCCGAGATACAACTGTTTGAAAATCTGGAATCTGAGAGTGCAAAAAATAAGCATACTGAGAAAATCGCCTTTAAAGTTGTCCAAATGAAATTCTTAGCAATGCATATTACTAATCAAAAATTAAGTTTTGATATATTTATGGTAGGAAATTTACAAAATATCTTCATGGAACATGATCTTTACTTAATATCTTAATTATTTTTGGCATAAAAGAAAAATCAATAATTTTGACCTATACAATGTGTTTTTGGCTATTGCTACAAATATACCCCTGCGACTTAAGACTGGTTTTGTGGTCCAGGGTCACATATATAAACAAACTATTCGGTTACACTTTATTTTGAGAGTCGACTTTTGCAACTACATGTCTACTAACTCTCAGTAGACTGTTAGGTTAAGGGTTAGTAGAATAAGTTAACATACTTGCAAAGTTTTTCATAGTATGTTGTATGTTGTGGACCCATCAAAATAGTGCAGACAGTCTAATAGTACTCTAATGACTGCTAGTTGATATGTAGTTGCAACGTTACTTACTGTTAGTAGAATGTCTAAAGTGGACTATCAAAATAAAGTTAACAAATATTCCTGCCCCATTAAAGGTGTTCCAGGTAACAACGTAAAACATGAACTGAAACAAACACGCATGGGCCAAAATACCTTGCAACTACTGTACAGTTCTGATCAGCACATTCAGAAATAATCTGTGGTTGAGATTATAAGAAAAAGTTTTGAGTAGTTACTCCAAAGATCAGTCTATGTATGCTTAAAGTGCACTAAATGTTTAAAGATGTGAAATGATTAACTGCAAAAACCAAATATCATGATTGCACAGTGAATTATTCTTGATGTTACACCAGGTTTATTAAAGCATATTATAAATCAGTAAATACAGTACAAAATGGTCGTTACATGTATATGTATTTAAAATTAATGTTTAAAATAGTTAAATACAAAAATAGAAACAATTTAAATTCAGCTTTGTGTTTTTTTTTCTCATCCATTTGCCAACTGATTTTTTTGAGAAATTGCTTTATTTTTGTCCCCTTAACAAACTTTACAGTATAGAATAATAACGTTTAGTTGGTTTTATTAGAGCTCAATTTACACCACAACCTGTCCCAGAATGCCTCATGCATCGCAGGCTCCCGTGGCCAGTATAGATTGGCCCTGCTGGTAAAAACTAGAACCTATCTATGATGGAAGGATAGCAAGCGAGATGGAATCATTTCTAGAAAGACCAGGATAAGAATGTCCCTGTGTTCTACTTGGAGCCGGTCGGTGGCAAGCTGCATCTCCAAAGAACACCAGTTGCTACCGAGATAGTTGCGACTGACGGGACAAAGAGTCCGGCGACTTGCATAGATTCTGTCCGTGATGTTTTCCACAATGTCTTGTCCCAACTGTGCAGACAGAGATGCAAAAATGAATGCCTCTCATCCTTACCGCTGCAAGACACAAAAACATCATAGCGGAACTGGTGTTTTACTGTTCACGCAAAGCCTCTCAGAACCATCCGCTGGCAATGTGATAGAATGGCGCAATGTATTGGCCTGCAAACTTATATGACAGGACCACAATAATAAAAACACACAAAAAGGCAGAGGTGATGGTGAAAAACATACTTAATATCAAATGAGCAGTTCTTGGAATAATCAAGAAAGTTGAGGTGGTTGTTTCTATTGTCATTCAAGCACTGCAGTTCTTTCATGGAGGCCTGAACATGGCAACCTGCACCTTCCTGTTGTCCTTTGCCCATGAGACCAGCCATGCATTATCACAACTGCAGTACAGACCCAAGTTTAGAAGATGGAGGTTCTTCAAACTAGTGAAATGTTCCACCAAGTTTTGAAGAACGTTGATGTTATCCTTTGGCGTAAGCACTAGACCCATCAATGCTTTCAAGTCTTTGGTCAGACTTCCATCCAGAAAGAACATTCTGCAGTTTTTCAGGATCAGATTGTGAAACATTATGGCCAGGTTTGGCTGCTTTGTCAATTCAGTGTTTTCCAGTTTTAGGGTTTTTAAATGAACAAGCTGATTGATTACAGCCAAGTCTCCAATGTTGTCTGAGAACATTGACTCAAATTCCAACTTGACAACCGATCTGACATATTTCCCAATGAATTCATTTCCACAGTTCACATATGCTGCATTTATCTTAAGAGTGACTACCGATTTTAAGAGTGAACTGTTGCAGTCGTCAATGGTCACATATTTACTTTTGATGTGGAAGTTTAGACCCTGACCCAGTGTAGCATTATTCCCGATCACAAACTACATTGGTCTCTCATCTGAACTTATTAAAACATTACTTAAAGTATATGGAATAATTCCAAACATGTCAGAAAAATGCAGTCTGATCAGTGGCACGTCAGGTGGGAAGTTCAGATCTCCCAGCAGAAGTGAACTAAGGTTAATCAGATGTCCAAATGATTTCAATTCGATATGAATTAAAGGATTTCCTTGGAGATCTAAGACCATAAGTCTATATAAACCACTGAATGTGTGTTGTGTTGATAAATGTAAGAAAACTTGTTGCTACAGAGGTTTAGCTCTTTTAACTTGTGCAATCCAATGAAAGCAAAATCTTCTATGTTAGAAATGTTACTTATGGATAAGTCCAGAATTTCAAGATCTGCAAAACACAAAAATTGGTGCGAAACTATCTTATGTTGTTTGTGCTTAGCATCATAAAAGACAGATTTTTGACTGTCTGTGGAAATGAAGCACAAAGAGATCTGGTCTGAGCACATGCTTAATTATGTTGACAATAGTGAGATTTCTGAAAATCTGAAAGACTGAATGTACATCGAAGACATTTACAATCTTAGCTATAAATATGTTACCTTTGAGAATAATTCTCTTAATATCTTCACAGCAGTCTGATATATTAGTAGGAGTTGGTGGCAAGTGAATAGTCTCATAACGAACGTCTAAAGACTCAACTGAATATAACTTTGCTGCTGCACACAAGTCATCAACGTTAAGCACATTCACTCTGATGATCAAAGCATTGATTTTATGAACTCCCAATTAAAGAAAGATCTCTGAGGTAATCAGTGTTTGAAACAAAGTCCAAGATAAAGAGATTTCCCGAAACTTCTAAGGCTCCCTCATCTACATGACACTTGTCCTAGATACAAATGTAACTCTTCAATATCGAACACAGAGCAGTTTGGGTACTGAAGTCTATTTAGCTCATATTCCTTTAGCTTAAACAGCTTCAGTGATTTTGCTCTTGCCAGTCGAAACAGGACCTCAGATATATCCTTCAAACACACATTGAGTATGTTTAATTCTCACAACTGAGGAATCATTTCAAAAACATTCAGTGGCAATAATGACAAACTGTACCGCGAAAGAGACAAATAGTTCAAGATCTAAATCAAGAGATACCTCACAACAGATTTCTAGAGACAAGAAAGACAATGTTACAGTTTTTCTCAATTGCTTTGGCACATTTTTCGAAACAATCTTAACATTCTCTAAACTGTGAGTGCAAATGTCACAACTGTTTGCTGGAACTTCAGAACTTTATTGCATGTCTGCAAAATGTAGTTACTCACCCAAAACATTACATTCATGCTTCAAAACCTAGTTATCGTGTCAGTAATTAGGCCAAGGCCACCAAAATATAAAGTATTTTTGTCATTGTGTGAGCCACACTGGTCAAAATGTTTAGTTGTTTTTTCACCATGACAGTCAACCATGGAAATGAAGGTTTTATAAAAAAATCTGATATTTGTTGAGAAGAGTCAATAGTACATAGAAAAAAAAAAAAGTATATGAACACTTGTATTTATGCAGTACATTTATTTTTGTACGAATGCATTACATAAGTGAAATCTTGCTTGTCCAATTACTGTACATTTCATATTTCTTATGTTACCACAAATACACAAAAATACTTCTTTTGAATACTTCAAAAATTATTCTTGCTGGACATCCTGTCGCTCTTGTTGGTCAGGCCAAAGATTTTCTGCAAAATCTTCTATGTTAGAAATGTTACTTATGGATAAGTCCAGAATTTCAAGATCTGCAAAACACAAAAATTGGTGCGAAACTATCTTGTTGTTGTTTGTGCTTAGCATCATAAAAGACAGATTTTTGACTGTCTGTGGAAATGAAGCACAAAGAGATCTGGTCTGAGCACATGCTTAATTATGTTGACAATAGTGAGATTTCTGAAAATCTGAAAGACTGAATGTACATCGAAGACATTTACAATCTTAGCTATAAATATGTTACCTTTGAGAATAATTCTCTTAATATCTTCACAGCAGTCTGATATATTAGTAGGAGTTGGTGGCAAGTGAATAGTCTCATAACGAACGTCTAAAGACTCAACTGAATATAACTTTGCTGCTGCACACAAGTCATCAACGTTAAGCACATTCACTCTGATGATCAAAGCATTGATTTTATGAACTCCCAATTAAAGAAAGATCTCTGAGGTAATCAGTGTTTGAAACAAAGTCCAAGATAAAGAGATTTCCCGAAACTTCTAAGGCTCCCTCATCTACATGACACTTGTCCTAGATACAAATGTAACTCTTCAATATCGAACACAGAGCAGTTTGGGTACTGAAGTCTATTTAGCTCATATTCCTTTAGCTTAAACAGCTTCAGTGATTTTGCTCTTGCCAGTCGAAACAGGACCTCAGATATATCCTTCAAACACACATTGAGTATGTTTAATTCTCACAACTGAGGAATCATTTCAAAAACATTCAGTGGCAATAATGACAAACTGTACCGCGAAAGAGACAAATAGTTCAAGATCTAAATCAAGAGATACCTCACAACAGATTTCTAGAGACAAGAAAGACAATGTTACAGTTTTTCTCAATTGCTTTGGCACATTTTTCGAAACAATCTTAACATTCTCTAAACTGTGAGTGCAAATGTCACAACTGTTTGCTGGAACTTCAGAACTTTATTGCATGTCTGCAAAATGTAGTTACTCACCCAAAATCAGAGATCCGAACTTATTGTTTCGGGAAAAAAAAGTTTCATTCGACAATTGAGCCAAAGCAATTGAGAAAAACTGTAATGAAGTTATATTGGTCAATCCATTAAAAGCCTCTGGAGGGATCTCTGAAAAACATCCAGTAATTTCGAGGTATTCCAAAGAAACAAAGCGTGAGAATGAGTCTGGAGCAAAGGCACCATGACAGTCTCATTCCCTTTTAACACAGAGTTTAAGCAAGTTTGATGGAAGTCCACGCAGATCTTCTTTAATGTCAGTGACATGATGGCACTCAGCAATGTTTGTTTTTCCAGCACAGGTTGTGGCAACAGGAAACTCTTGCATATCACTGTAGAACAGGCATTTACCAGCAAGCCAAGAACATACACATGAACTCTTCAGAAACAATATGAAGAGTGAGAACAGAGGCACCATCTTCCATTCCTCAACGATCATTATAGCGGTCTGCCTTTCACTGGAGGTAATTAACCATGTCAGAACATTTGAACAAGAACTAAACTTCCCTTTTCTGTTTCCAAATTCTATTAATGTGTGACTCTTAGTCTCTTGCCTTATTTCTCTGTTGTATTATCACATACATTATGAGAGCTTAAAGGGAAGTTCAGTCATCATTTTTTTATTCAACGTCATGTCCTATCCTTCTCATATGGATAGTAAAAGATATTTTAGAAAATGTCACAATGGAAGTCAATAGGCACCAAAACTGGTTATCAACATTCTTCATCAAAATGCATCAAAATATCTTCTTTTGTGTTCCACAGAAGCACAAAAGTCATACTATTTTGGAACAACATGAGGGTGAGCAAATGATGACAGAATTCTCTTTTAGGTTAAAGTTCTGAAAGACCATTTAGCCATTCTGAGCTGATTATTATTCAGCAGAATAATTTGATCAAATTCCAACAATTTGTAATATTTATTGGACGAAGGTTAATGAAACCTTAAATAAGCTGATTTAAGAGCAATCTCATAAGAATTATCCTCATGCAGGCTATAATACATGCCCAACATAATCAGCTTCTGGTGTAGCAAAAAAATCATGACATTTTAAAGTCTGCAAGGATCAAGATCTGACATCACCTTTTTGAATATATATATATTTAAAAAAAAAAATAATTTTTAATTTTGTTTTGCATATAAATATCACCAACAAAATAAAAAGGTCAAACATTGCATGAAATGCCAATCAAATTTTTTTGAGAGCTTGTAAGCAATGTTTATTTTAATTTTTAAATGTTAAGTAATTTAAAGCAATTAAAGAAAAAATAAAGAAAGAAATCCCTATTGTTTTGATCCCCATGCACGTGGAAAAATACCATTGCTCAATCATGGTAAAAAACAATTACAAAAAGGCTTACAATGTAAGTATACATTTTCTGTACTATACATAAATAATTTAAAAAACAAAACATTAAAGGTCCATTACAATTATGTGTATATAAAGTAACATTTAAATAAATTAGCTTACATTCAACCTACTAGACATATGGAATATATGTTTTCTTAAATTATTAAATATTTCACTTTTATTACATTGGTGTTGGAATTACTAGCATTTTTAGGGCATTTGAGGAGAGTCAGCGTATTTCAGTAAATATGCTGAATCTAAGGTATATTAATTGAAAGTTGAAGACCAAAAACAAAACATAACACAAAATACACAGACAAAATACAGCTTTGTGTTAGTAAACCTGTGGGCATACTCAACGTAAAAAACATGTTTTTAAATGTTTTTTTTATAATGTGGGAAAGTGTATCCACTTGTCTCGACTGGGGTTGAGTTTATCCATATACTCTCTGGTTGAGCTTGAATAGCATGTTCAAAGTTCATGCCTCCAGAAGGTCAGTGCTGACCGCTCTGGTTACACAGGCTAGCAGAATGATGTTTGGCTCACAATTTTGTACCTTTGTCCTTATTCTCAGTGTTGCCATTCTCATCAGTGTGAAAGCCACTATTCTCCAAGGCGTAATTCTGCTTATCCTGATCCTCAACTGTGCTCCGTACACCTTCCCCATCCTCCTCTGCCGATGTCCCTCGCCTACAGCGCTTTATAGAGTAATAAACTGCAAATACATCAAGGGACATCATGATACGAGTTAGCAACATTTTAAAGTAAAATGAATGTTATGATTTCCAAAACAAGCAATCATATTTCCAATGAGTAAATGCAGAGTGAACAAGAGTTTCTTCTTACGTCCTATCGCAATCCCAGCTACAACCAGTTGGAAGATACTGTAGATTAAGGGGAAAGCGAACATGAGCTCAAGCTCCGCAGGACTGAAGGAAAGCTGGGTAATAGTACTGGCCAGCTGGGAGTTCTGCATGCCTGTTTCTAAAGCAATGGTGCGGCACCTGCAACACGTTCATGAGAAATAAACCATCACAAAGTGTTTTTCTGACATTTTGCCACATTTATTGACCCTTACAGGATTTGCGCTAACTGTTCCAACAAACCATCTAATGCCTTGTGGGAAGACAAAATTGACAGATTTTTACCTGTACCAAGGTTGTCCCACAAAGCGTGCCAGGAGAAAGCCCAGACCAAAGCCAATAAATGGATAAATGGTACCAATGATCCAAAGTGAAGGAGCAATGGTCCATGAGGACTGATACAGAACACCACCTATGACTGCAATGATGATGATTAGGAGGATTCCTACCACAGATCCCACCTATACATACAAAAGCAAAACACTCGTGAAGCTACATGGAATGCATACGAGTTTACAATATTAAACACAGAAACAAAAACTTACCTTGAGGATTTTTTTGGCTGCTTTGGGCCACCTGTGTTTTGTGTACATCCCAAGACAGACAGGCACAAGTAAAGTCACTAGTGTGATTCCTGGAAAAATCATCAGCAACATTTAAGACTAAACAAATGCATAAAATGGAAAATCTTGTGTTTAGGTCATTTGAGGCTGGTTTACCGATGCTGTCGTAAGGGATCTGGATAGCATCGCCTGAAGTCCAGACTGTGGTGTAGACGAACAGACAAAGAGGCATCATTCCCAGAGCCAGTATTGAAGAACATGCTGTCATGCTGATGCTATGGGCGGCAGAAATCAGCATTTAGTTGTGCTCTAAAAATTGTCATTCTGTCTTTATAAACATGCATCAATGGATTACGATAAATCTAATCAAATTGCAAGTGCTGTTCAAATAATTTGGGTCTAGTTATGCTAAAGGACAATTAAGTATTTAAAAACTTTCTCAAATATACTATAAATCACAGTACCTTTATTATTATACTAAAATAATAAACAATAAAATATTACATAATAAAGAAGATGAAAATAATTTTGAAATTCTACATGATTTTAGAAACAAGTCCCATCTATAAATATAATTTACTAAGCCGATAAAATAGCAAAAAATCTAGTTCAGCCTAGTAGACATTTTATGTGAACAATTAAGTAAATCTACAAATGACACTGCTGCATTTAAAACCACAGACTTCTCGTTTAAAAGAGCTGGTGTTTACACACAGTTCATTTCTGGGATCTAGAAAGCCTTCAGTGTTACAAGCAACAAAGATATTGAAAAGTGAACAGATTGATAGTCTTACCTTAGGTCCATGTCTCCATCAAGCCAGTAGCAGAAAACATTGGAGCTGGAACCTCCAGGGCAACAGCCCATGATGATGATAACTATAGCCTGGATTGGAAGCACGTTGAAAATCAATGAAAGCGCAAAGGCTGTGAAAGGCATGATGCCAAATTGGCACAGGAAACCGATGAAAATGCCCCAGGGCCTGCGGATGTGCACCCAGAGCTTTCTTGCTTCAACAGTGCAACCCATTGAAAACATGACCAAGGCCAGCATGATGGTAAGTGTGGTGCTCATCACCACGCTGAGGATGTCATTGAATGGATCATGGGGCACCAGGCAGGACGTGCCCGTGCAGATGGTGGCATTTACAGGGCAGATGGGCTCTGGTTGCTCGCACATGTTGACTAAAGTGAGTTTGAATGAAGTGGTGAAGAAATAAAAGTAGGATCCTGTAGGGAAGATGGTGTAGATTCCAATCGAAAGGTTGCAGAGATGATGCTTCTTTGAGAAAATGAGCTAAGATTCCAGATTGTTTCTATACATTTTCCAAAACACCTTCTTTCCCCCCTCAGATCCCTCTTTCCTGCATCCCGGGTGACAAAAATTGAACTTTTACCTGTCTCTTAGAGCTTTAATATATGTCTGGGGTCTATAAAATTCAGAGAAAAAATGTTGAAAAATAATTAACTTGCTGCAAATGTTTTATGGGGTCAGTGTCCAAATGCCAACACATAAAAGAAAGAGAGGGCGAGAAAAGAAAAAAGAAAAAGAGAATGTAATTGTTGAGGTTACGTTTAGACACAATAAATGCAATTGCACCCTCTTGCCATTTTATAACACTGTGGCACTTAAATTTTATTGTTTTTCTCCAGGTATGGCCCTGTACCATCACCACACCCGCTGTTTCTGAGTGGAGAAGACATGATGCCTACCTGACCCAAAACTGTATGTCCGTCATACGGATGAAAAAAAAAAAGTCATAAACTGTATGATTCTTTTTAAAGGACCCTTTAGAGATATAGGAGACTATAGGAATGCATGATACCTCACTCACATTTCTTTCAATACAATAATGCACACACATATACCCTGTACCTTTGGTCACAAAGTTATTATTATTTTTTTTTAATTAAACCGTTTGAAGCGCTTATATAACTACATAAACAGTATAACATCTGTAAGGACACTTAGGTGCAAAGTACATTGATGGAATTGGTATATACTGCTCTCACAGGGTATGTAAAAAAATAAAAACATAAAAAATTAGCTTGTTTAAGGCTCTTTCAGCTGAAGGTCCCTTTTAATTGCTAAATACTATGTATTTATGAAGCTCTATTCCAATCTTTGTGTGGCTTTTGTGGGGTTAAATACCAAGCAGTTATTACACTATGAGATTAATGAAACTTCTAAACATTTTGAACTTTGAATTCTAAAGGTTAAAAAAAATATTAAAATGCCATTATTTGAATAGAAAGAAATAATAATAATATTAAACAGTTCCTGAATATGTAGTTTTGGTATTGGTTTAGAATACTTGGCAAATTGAATGGATTTTAGTGTCTAAGCAACTGCAACTGAAAACCAGTTGTGATATGCTTTACTTGTCCAGTCAATGATAATGACCTTGTAATACGCAATAAGAAAGTTAACCCTCAGGTGAAATGACAAAACCCTCCTTATCCTGAGAGATCAAATTCAAGAGTAAGAAGTCCTTTTGTTATCAATTCACTGGGTTTTACCCATTCACTGGGATTTAGGTTCAGTAATTAACTAATCCTATAAATAAGCCACAGTTTTCAGTAATTATGTTAACAGAAAAACGTATCTGGAACTTGATCTGATCATATCATGCAGGTAAATTTTGGTTTAATCTCCAAAAGTAAGAGCAAGATTTAAAGTTGAACAGTCACTCATAAACATTCAAAGCAACACTTTCTGTCATTTTATTTAGAAGAACAAATATTGCACTTGACTATACAGCAACAGACAGGGATGTGCATTTGTGGAATACCCTAAGATCTCACTAAAATATAAATGTTGTTAAATCATACACTTGATTCCTGGATCATTCAGGGAGTTTATACAGAGCTGCATGAATCCTGAAACCAGTAATATTGTGATACCAGCCTCTGCATTTGAAGTAATTAAATGGTTTAAATCAGTCATTTTCAAATTGGTTTTATGATATTGGGTCCAGACCTCAGGTTTGTCTTTGTGACGTGTGGAAAGGCAGTGCAGTACACTCACGACTGTTTAGCATTGAGTTGTAGATTTCCTGTTACATGTGTTATGAAACACCTGAGCAGATAAATCCCAGAGAACTGGACTGAACTGCAAGTCAAAGGAAGGGGAGAGAGAGAAAAAAAGTTACGAGTACATGTTATAATGTACGCTACTTATCACCTTATCTGTGAAAAGTGACTTCCTGCATTGACACACAAAGCAAATGCAACTGTTTCCAGAACTCCTAGCCTTATCTTATCAGCAAGCTGATAACCATCTGACCACATTAACATTTTTCATCTAACAGAGAGAAACTTCCTCGTTTTTATAAAATGACAGGTCAGATGCACTGATATATCTGTATAACAGGATTTATCTAATTGCTGGTGATCAAGAGTACCTCAGTTGCACACTCACAAACAACCAAAAGCATTATAAACTTATCACTGCTCATATGCTCATCAGCAATATGGCATGTGAAATATCTTATAACATTCCAATGACACCATAATTTTTGTAACAATCCATGATATGGCCGATGTAGCTGAAATGCAGACACCCACAGCAGTGTCATTTTCAGCAGCCATTACTCAATAAACATTTCTTATTAAGTTATTAGATTAATATTCTCTTTAGGTTGCATTGCTTAATATTTTTGTGGAAATCATGATGCATTCTTTTCAGGATTCTTTGATGAATTTAAAGCTTAAAAGAACAGCATTTATTTTAAATTTAATTTAAAAAATAGATATATTTTCTCTTTCATTGTTACTGCGATTTTTTTTTTTAACAATCTGCTCATTTGACACCTAGATAATGTTATTTAGCTGGCAAACATAAATGAGGTTTGTCAGAATTGACTTGTAGTAGTGTTTCAGCAAATGTGTTTTTTTTAATTAACGGAGTTACATTATGTCTCTATATTTTCCAGCTTGTTGCAAAGTTTCTTTTTGTTGAACCGTTTATGTGTAAACTTTTCTGAATGCAAAATGATTATCATTATAACATAAAAATAAACTACAAAAGAGAGTGCGTGTCTGCATATCTCACCTTACTAGAAATGGCTGTGGGAAACACGTGCTGGTTTGATTTTTAATAAAGTCCCGAAGCTGTAGAATAAGAGCCAACAAAGTACCCTGTCGGGTTCTGTCTATTTTAGTTACCACCAGCTAAAACATGATAGAGAGAAAAAAAGGTTATTTTTTGGCATCCTTTATATATATAAATGCATTATTTCCAATGAAGAGACAATAAACTCATGTGGGAACACAAAGAGGGATAAAGCTATCTATCTATCTATCTATCTATCTATAAAATGCATTCTTTGCAATGAAGAGACAATAAACTCATGTGGGAACTCAAAGCGGGATAAACCTTTGAAATGAAAAAGTACTTTTGGCTTTGTTCACACTGTAATCAATTCTGATTTATTTAAAACTATTTAGGACTGACTCTCTATTTTACAAGAAATTTAAAAATATATATATATACTTTTTTTCAGACTGTGTAGTCAGTGACTGTTGTATCTACATCTGCTGCCATATTAAAAACAGAGGCCTCGACACAATGCCAAGATACTTTCTCTGACACTCACTGTGAAAAGTATAGTGAAATGTTGTATTTAAAAAAATCTGACTTTGAATGGAATCCCAAAAAATCCCAAGTTGCAGGTGTTTTAGTTTATTTTGATGCTTTCTTTTGTCTGAGGCCCTCTGGTTGCAAACCACTGATCTAGACAGAGATGTTGATAAGAGCATATAGTACTCTAACGACCCCTGCTGGACAGTCACAGTAAGAGCATAAGAGACAAACTCACCACATAAGGTAAATTGAACTCTTCACACATCTCCACAGCAACTAAATCTGCCTTCTGCAGACCTGCACCTCCATCCACCAGCAAGAACGTCCTCACCAGACTAGCGATACATAAATGAGGAAATCAAAGAAAGAAAAACTTTGAATTCTATCACTCATTTATATATAACGAGACAAGCTTTATAATTTACTTTTTTATAACTCAACACAAGCATGCAAAAACAAATATCAGCATTGTGAACAAATATAAAAACAGCATCAACTTCAACCTACTTCTGACGATCTAGAAGGTACGGTTCAACCATCTCTACAAAGTCCCGTGGGGCATTGTGTCCATACCCCGGCATGTCTACAAGAGTAAAGGCCTTTCCCACAGTGAAGAAATTCAGCTTTTTGGTGTGGCCCTGTGTGAAAATGAAGACTGAGAACGAGTCATTTCTGACCATGGAGTACTGAACGGCAGAGAACATCCGACATACAGACTCACCGGAGTTTTAGAGACCCGCACATCTACCTCCGGCGCAAGAGAGAACAAGGCACGGATGAGAGAAGATTTCCCCACATTACTTCTGCCCATAAAACACACCTGCAATACAAACAAGCACTCAAAGCAAACTTGAGACACAGTTTAAACTGTCTAGTGCAGTGGTTCTCAACCAGAGGTCCGCAGGATGACTTCAAATGATTTAGAATGAATATTAATATATGAAAGCGATCTAAATGAATTAAAATGCTAAAATGAGACGTAACAACCCAGATGTAAACTGCAATCATAATTCTTCCTCTCCCACTTTTTTGAATTCAAGTAAATTTTGAGGCCACTGTATCATTTAATCAAGTGATGACTATTAAAGACAATCTCATCTTACCTCTGGCTGTTTAAGAAGAGGTAAATGGTCAAACCGGACCGCAGAAGTAGAATAGTCGATACTATGTTTAGAGGAGGGAGTGAACAATGTCTCTGCCTGACGGAGTTCCTCCAAGCTGGGATAAAAGATCTTGAATTCTTCCTGACTGACCTGTGAGGACAGGTGCTCCTCCAGACTGTTAAAGGGGTACAGAAGAGCCTGACGCCTCTTCTCAGGGAGCACACACACATGTTTGATGGAGGCCAGCTGATGAACTCTCTGAGCCACCAAACCTGCTATATGTGTCTGTAGCAGAGGCAATGCCTTTGTCCTCAGCATTGTTAGATCAATTCTTTCAGGATGACAATCTTTGCTTGTTGAAGTCAGTTTTGGGATACACTGACTGATTCATGCATTAGTCATGCAGTCATTGGGATGTTGAGTTCGCTTGCTTGATGGTTTCTGAAATGTTGATCTTTCCACTAAGATTTACTGAATCGAACATTATGGTTCATGTCTATCCACTTGGATCCTGTGTTGGAGTCTTTACACATACCGAAGCCAGTCAGTCAGCATTTAAATCATTTTACAAATAGACATGCATTCTGACAAGTTTTAAGAAGTTGTAATCATAATACACAACAGTGAAACACACATCTAACATCTTACTGCAAGCCGGATATCATCTCAAGGTCTTAAATTCATTAGATTTAAAGTTTCTACAAAATCTTTTACAGCCCGAAATGCACCTGTTCGCTCAAAAGCACATTAATAAATACTATTACATCAGTGAAATAATATGTTTATGCCAACTACTGTTTAAGGAGAATGCAAAAAAGGTGTAGTTACGCATGTTACATCTGAATCGACCCGGGGGAAACAGACAGACGAACAAAGGTTCCGCATTATACTAATGACACACGGGAAAAATGAACCCTAAAGATGAATTTTTACCAAACCTATATGTTTATTTCTCACTATGCTGCTATATGTTTATTGTGTATATATGGATTGTATATTGTGTTTATTGCCTTTTACAGCACGTTTACAAGGTTTTAAAGTGTATGTAAGCACACTGCTAGATTGTAGCAAAGAAATAATAGAAAATAAATAGAAATCAAATTTTTCTGAAGGTTTAGGCAATTTGTCTCTCAGTTTAATCTTTCAATTTATGCGTGCTTTATTGGCATGACAAAAACTATACATTTGCAAAGCAACGGCATAGGCTATACAAAATGTGTGAAAAGTAAAGTACAATGACATTAGCGTAAATACTTAATGTTTACAATGGAAAAAGTAGTGTACAGTTAAATAAAGTGAAATAATAAAATACAAATAGAAATAGCCTAAAAGCTACAGTGAAATATTTGTGCTATTTGTACTGACATAAATATGACCATTAGAGGGCAGCAATGTCTAACAATTATAAAACGCATAATCAGAGTTTCTCTTTTCAGAACTTTCTTTATACATTTTCAGTAGCCCACGTCTTGTTGCATTCTACAGCACACCTAAAACAATTATTTCTTAATTAATAATAATGATACTGACTCTTGAAAAAGTCATATTGTGTAGAATTCAATTGTTTATGCATGATTACATTCATAGAAATATATAACAAACCTATTTCTTTATGCTACATCTCTGGAACTCAGCTAGGTTTATTGCTTGACTGAGTTCAGCAAGGTGTCACCCTGACAGTCACCCTGCCCAACCTTTCACTGCCAGAAAATGAATTTATCCCTAGTAAGAATGTGAGCTGTAATGGCCTTTAAATCAGTATAGGGCTGCTGTACATACCACAGACAGTTGAAAGGAGCATTTATGGGGACGGTTATTGCCCACTATCTAAAATATTTATAGAGCTGTAGGAAGAGGACATTAAAGCAGATCCTGGAACAACCTCCCATATCCTAATTCAACCATCAGCTATTACTGGATAAACCAGCATACTGACATGAGATCAGCCAGTATGAGTTGCATAACCTAGCATTTATAGCTTTCTTACAAAAACCCAGACTGGAATAGCAACATAAATCAGAGAAAACTCGCTTATATCTGTAAACTGTATTAAAGAAGGACTGATGACCTAAACTTAGCCATTCCTTATGAAGGCACAAACTGAATTTCCTTTCTCAACACTAAACCCAATGGGTAGACACACAGATCACATTGATGAAGAGAGAGATACAGTATGTGAAGTGTGAAAAAATGGATGGAAAGTCTAGTAGGCGGAGAAGAATTGGTAAGCAGTTAAATGAGTTTGGAATTGAGCACAGGAGTGAATAATGAAAGAATCACAATACTAAATGGAAATATGGAAAGAACTAGATAGATGCAGAATCGCAGATATTAAGATGGAGTTCCAGCGAAGTAAAAACAGATAGTCAGACAGCCTATATTTGAAATGGAATACTAGCATACATGCTGCTTACTGAATACAGTGCAGTACATACTACTGCATATTACTGTTTTAAATACTATGTGAAATAGTGCTATAGGCAACCATAAATATGAGTAGTGTAGTGAGTAGTGTCTATGATATAATCTTGAACATAAATACTGATATTTTGGATTTTTAATACAGTTCATAAAATGATCTGGCAGTCTAAATAAACATGGCTGAATTTGGAAAGCAAACTACTCTAGCCATATGATTTGACTTTTTGTTTCCGCTGTGACAAATTAACGGAATGTAATATCAGCTGCCATATAGAAATAGTAAGAGCAGTATGCAGGCATACTAATCAGAATTCAGACAATGAATCAAGAAAGAGATGTTCAAATTTGCAACTGATATTACTTATGGAAAACAAAGTTAAGCGTATGACATTGCGTAAAAAAGTATTCCATAAAGTTTTAATATTTATAGTTTTTATTAATGAATAAAACGTAACTTTAGTTCATTTTTTAGTCATTTTGTCATGTTGTTATTGTCATTTTGATTTATTTATTTACATTACTATGTAGGTTTCATTAATTTTTATGCTTCCATTTAAACTTATTTCAGTTGGTAAGACAATATTTTTTATTTTCATTTAGTTTTTCATCTAATATTTATATTTTGTTATGTTTCATTAAATGATTAAAAAATATATATATATTATTTTATTTCAGTTAAAAATGCATATTATTTAATAGTTTTAGTTTTAGTTAACAGCCTAAAAATAACCCTGGTATACATACCGTTTACTGCAAGAAATAGTATGAATAGTATGGTAGTACAGTACGCCATTCTAAGCATGTCTACAGCATTGACTGGTGAGACAGGGAGGTAATTTCTGCCACTCCTTATAGTTCATTTCCATGCACAAGGTCAAACAGTTGATGGATGATCAAATGTCATGTGTCAATGGGATAAAATAATCACTTAGTGATATACATATTGAAATAAGCTATTTTTTTTTCTCTAAACTGACCTCTTTGGGATCATTCCAGACTGGCGGAGATATTTTTGCTTGTAAATGCTACAGAAAAGTGCCAAAGAGATGCAGCTGCCGTACTCTCACACTCAGCATTTAATACCCCATCATGGAACAAGCACTTGTTAATGTGACATTGAGTGATGTCCACCCTGACCTCTCCTTCTCTCTCGTCTCATTTGCATGTTAATCATCCTGCCTCCTTTCACTTCAGCACTGTGACCGACACACAAAGGGATGTCTGCCACCCTTAACGCCTCTGCTTCACCCCCGTTCTGCTCCGTCTCCTAATAATGAAGCCATACGCAGTTCATCTCAGATGACTTCATACAAATCAGAAGGGTCAATCGTTCAAACAGCTTAATAGACGGACAGAATGTAACTTATATCTGACACACAGGCTTTCACTAGCAATAAAAATGACATAGTGACACACAAGACAAAGACTCGGTCAATGCGATGAACACCTATAACAACCTCACAAAGGAGCTTCTGCTCCAGCCACCCACCCCGGGCGGTGTCTGTGTCCTCTTTGTGTGTTTGTGACGAGAGGGAACATGGAGGAATATATTGGGGAAAAGCATCTTACCCGTATAACTACAAGGTGTTCAAAACTTGACCACAGTCTGGCTATGTTCAGAATGGAATAATGGTAAATGCTGTGCAAACACACCACATTCTGCCTGCTATTTTTGTAATAGTATGCGAAACAGAACACATTCATATGCCTTTATTAACATTTTAAACAGCAGTATGCTAAATTGTAGATACATGACCTCATTGGGTATTGTTTAATGTAAGAAATGCTGTCTATTTATCATCCTGGACACCATAAATATAGTAGCCTATTCTTAAATTCAGTTTTATTAATTACAGTTGAGAAGGATGTTGCATATTTTTGCTGAAAAAGCCTCCTATAAGGTGATTTGCTATAGTCTTCCAATACTACTACTACTACTACTACTACTACTACTACTACTACTACTAATAATAATAATAATAATAACAACAACAACAACAATCATTTTCCAGCAGTCATTACTTTCTTTTCAGTAATTACAGCAGAAATGAGAAATGGACAGTGCTACTTTAATAGTTAAATACTTGAATTTGAATATGTCTTTTTATTTCAGTTTTAGTTACTTAAACTTAAACTTAATTCAGTTGGCATGGCAACATTTCAACATTTTCTTTTATTTTCATCTAATGTACATATATTTTATTTCAAATATGTTTTTATAGTTCTAGTTAATAATAACAACACTGGAAAAATAAGCTAAAGTTGAGCAAGTCACATGTTTGATACAGTATTTTATGTTGTGCCTAATTTATTCCATGCATACAGAAAATTCTCAAACTGTGCATAGTAGGCTTATATGATATACTACAGAAAGAGTAAGAGTATGAACAGCCTACAGTCACAAATGACTGTAGCAAAGCCAAAGTCACCCTGCTTTAACAACACACACACTGACACACAATGCTGAGTGATGGAGCTTCAGAGAGACAGAAAGGAGTTGGTGTGTGTCCTTTATTTTTGTCACAAGTCCTGAGTGTGAGGGAGTAGCTACGCTAGGAAAGCTGAACATATTCTCCGTGTTATGTATCTAAATGAAAAGAGAGAAACAAAGGGTGGAAAGGGGGTAGAAATAACTATTTGAAACATCAGCAAAATAAAATGAAGGTTTATCATCTCGCTGTCTCCCTCAGTGTTTTTAAGACATGGTAGCATAAATATTTTGGCAGGTGGTGTTTAGAGGGTATTGAAGCTCAGTGTTTGGGATATCGATCGGGAACTGTGTGCCAGGATCTGCAGAGAGAAAGGGAAGAGGAGAAAGAGAGAAAGAATGACCTTGAAGCAGGAGGTTTGACTCGATAAATTAACTACAGGATGGAAATGCTTGAGAAAACAAATTTGGTGCCACCCAGGAACACTAAGTCTGTCCCACAATTACTTGCTAGATGAGAGTCCTAACCTTTGTGAGAGCGAGTGTGTGTGTGTGTGTGTATGGTAACACTTTAGTAGAGGGACCAATTCTCACTATTAACTAGTTGCTTATTAGCATGCATATTATTCATATATTGGTGGTTTATTAGTACTTACAAATCACATATCCTGCATGACCATATTCTACATCCCTAATCCTAACCAAAACCTAAATTTAACAGCTACCTTACTATTAACAAGCAGCAAATTAGTAGTTTATTGAGGCAAAAGTTGTAGTTTATGGGTTGTTAACAGCAAGAATTGGACCTTAAAATAATGTGTGACCCTATATATTTATACAAATTTATATTTGTATAAATACCGTATCTATTTACCATATATATTTATACAAACATATATATATACACACACACACACACACACACACACACACACA